GTTCCTCGAGGCACCTGTCTTAACTGCTCTTAGAGATGAAAGTAGCAAGGTCTTGGATCTTCCCCATGCTAAGCCTGGTTCTCGGTCAGGGAACCTGAGAATTGCTGGTTCAAGTTCTGGGGAGGAAAAGAAAGAAAGTCCAATAGAAGAAGATGGAGACTCGAAATTGGCGAGGGTGTTACAGGAAGAAGAGCGCTGGCAGTCAATGAAGTCAAAGAAAAGCAGGGCTGCAACATCCTCATCCAACAACTACTACATTAAGATCAACGAGGATGAAATAGCCAGCGACTATCCTTTACCTGCCTATTACCAGACGTCAAATGAAGAAATCGACGAGTATTTAATTTTTGACAGCAGCATGGGTGTTGAGCAGAATATTGACACCTTGGAAAAGAATATGCTGCACGACTGGTCTCTGTACAATTCAGATGCTAGGCTGGTTCCATTAGAACTCCTACCCTTGAAACCCTGTGCTGAAATTGATGTGACCATATTCGGATCGGGCATAATGACTCTCGATGATGGGTCTGGATACAATGTTGATGGTGATTGCGCTCTTTCTTCAAGTGCTTCTGGGGATGCTGCAGTTGAAGGGATCCCAGTTTTCTTGAGTGCAATTAAAGAATGGGTGATTGATTTCGGTGCCTCGATTGTTGTCATTTCAATACGAACAGATATGTCCTGGTATATCACATTCTCTCTCACTCTTGTGTGTGTTTGTGTGTGTGATTCTGGATTTAAACTAATTGATCTGCCTTCTTTATTTCTTTTATTGGCTTGACTTTTTTAGAGTTTCTGTGAGTTTTTCCAAAACATTGTCGGATATTAGATGATTAATGTCACTTCAATATTTCCTTGAATGTGGAGGTAAAAGTATTGTCAATCCTTGTTGTGGAATTTAATAGCATGAAGGAAACATCTAAAGAAGTCGTAGGCTGTATGTATGCAATACTTAAGATCATAGTAAATGGCTCATGAGCTTTACTGATTTGTCACAATTAACCAATAATTGCTGTCCTTTTTCTTGTATCCCACCTTTTCGTGTATAAACGAATTGTTTTGATTTTATTCTTCAGGTATAGGCTTGGGAAACCCTCAAAGCAATATGCTCCATGGTATGAACGAGTCCTGAAAACTGCAAGACTGGCAATTAGTACCATCAATTTGTTGAAGGATGCGACCAGGGTGGCACGGCTTTCGTTCACAGACGTTATCAAGAGACTCTCGGATTTCACCAAAGATAACCCTGCTTTTATATCGTCGAACCCTGATGCAGTGGAAAGGTACGTGGTTGTACATGGCCAGATTATTCTACAGCAGTTCTCAGAGTTTCCTGACGATAATATAAAGAAGTGCCCGTTCGTGACTGGCCTCACAAAGAAAATGGAAGACAAGCACCACACTAAATGGGTCGTCAAGAAAAAGCAGTTTCTGCAGAGAGAAGAGCAGAACTTAAATCCAAGGGCCGCTATGGGGCCCGTTGTGTCAAAAAGGAAGGCTATGCAGGCTACTACGACGAGGCTAATCAACAGAATCTGGGGTGAATACTATTCAAATTACTCACCCGAGGAGCCGAATGAGCCAAATGAAGAAGTCCATGCTGAAGTAAAAGAAGATGAAAATGAAGAGGAAGAGGAGAACGAAGAGGATAATGCTTCGGAGGAGAAAGTTGTACTACCAGAAAAAAATCAGACACCTACCTCGGACCGAAGGCAAAGCAAGTCATGTTCAGGTAGCAGAGAAGTAAAGTGGGATGGGAAATCTGTAGGTGAACTGCCTAATGGCGATGCTTTATATGAAAAGGCAATTGTCCATGGAGATGAAGTAGCAGTCAAGGCGGCTGTTCTTGTGCAAGAGGAGGAGTTGGATGATTTGCCGTCCATCTATTTTGTAGAATACATGTTTGAAAAGTTGGATGGAAGTAAAATGATTCATGGGAGATTGATGCAACGAGGCAGCGAAACTGTGCTTGGAAACGCAGCGAACGAGAGGGAGCTATTTTTGACAAACGAGTGTGCGGATTTTCAACTCGAAGAAGTGAAGCAAACTGTGACCGTCGATATAAGATCAGTGCATTGGGTCATCACCTGCGTTAGTAT